GCCAACTCATTCTCTTCTGATGATTTATTGATAAACAGCTTCAATACAGGTGTCCCCCACTCACTTTTAATTAATTATGTATACACAAACGCACACACATCCACCTCTGTAGACTCCTGCAGATCAAAAGGCAGTCAGCAGAGGATTGAGGAGAGATGTGCTCTCAAAGGGAGTAATTAAAAAAGTGAGTGCTGTCAGAAAGCTCCAGACGATTCAATCTCTCGTGGCTGTTTGGCTCAGTTTGGAGAACGCCAGTATGGTCCACAAATGATCCTGTCTTATTATTCCCCGTGGCCATAGTAAGTATGCAAACGGCTGAGTGCCAGGACAGTGATTCAGTATGGATGCTTTGGCTGACACACAAAGGGACTGACTGAGCCAATCTGATCTGATTGTGTGATTTTGCTAAATGATGGTTTTAGAGGCACAGTGGATGCATGAGTTTCAGGATTTTATCTTTGAACCGTCTCCTTTGTTTTATTTGGACAAGAACACGTAACTATTTATGTGTTCACATTTTGTACATTGTGTTTACTGTGTCTGTAAATACCAGGATGAGACAAATACTGTCACATTTTGTCTCACAAGTTACACTTGAAATAGCTCCCTCTGGATTTGTAGTTTTTTGTTTTGTTCACTTAGGACTTTATTATAGTAGCCTATCACCTTATATCAGCATATAATCATAAATCATAAATCTGAAGCCTTCATTGTTGACAAAGCTGTTGAGGAGCAGGTCTTCGACATCAAACGCAATGGATCTTCTTTTTTTTTATTGTCCTTTCAGAATTGTCTGGCAGATCGGTTAAGTGGTGTTGTGTGCGTCAGTCACAGTGGTGTAAGGTAGTCACGACAGGCCCCAGTGCAAGCTATTTTGATGGGCCCTAGTGCACGCTAGTTACAGTGAACACACTCACACATACACACATGATTATTTAGGGCTAACTTTATAGCTTCAGATTTTGGCCTGAACTAGCTACATCACATGATCACATATTTGTATATGACCAAAATACTAAAGAAAATATGAAATTATTCATTTTGTTGAATGGTTTCTTCAGTTTGTGACCTAGAGGGGGCCTGCTTTCCTCACAGACCCTCCTATCCCACAGGCCCTAGTGCAACCGCACTGGCTGCACTGTTTACATTTACGCCATTGGTCAGTAAGCAGTTTTTCCACTTATTTTGACTCTGAGTAGTGGCATTTGATGTCAGCGTACGTATTTGAATCGTTCCTGAAGTACTTCACTTTCATTTTTGCTCACCCTATATATTGAATACGTCGGGTCTTCCTCTTACCTTGAGGAATGTAGAATCAACAGTGTGCTCTAACACTTGGGGAAAGACTGAATGTCTTACTCCTCCAAAGACAGTACATGCTGTACACTAGAAGAGTGTCAGACGCAGCCAAACATTACCGACACAAAGGGATAGCTAATGTTAGCAGCACGGCTGACAAGTCAGGACCAACAACACAGCCCCTGCAGCATCTGTGTGCCAAGGAAGGAAATGGTGCACCAAAAAAATGCCAGCAGCTGGTTTGCATGCTCAGTTTCACCGCTGGTGAAAATGGACTTAAGATGAAACAAGGTACTGTATTATTGCAGTTTTGATGTGAACCGATTTTTAGCCCTGCCTCTGCTCTAGATGCTTCACTATGTTTACCTGTCGATAACTTTGTCTTCTGCTTGGGGCCCAGCAGATTGCGTCATATCAAAAAAAAAAAGTGTTACCTGGAGCAGATAAAAACTAGTTGTAAGTTGCCGGCAGTAAAGCCAAAACAATGGGCTTAAAGAAGCATACATGTATCAGAGAGCACTGTTTTTTAGTGACTGTTTCATTCAGCTCATTACCTGTTTTATTTTATGTGACATATCGCTCTTGTTTTCTAACACGTTATTTATTGTCTCTAGCTGCTCTAGCTCTGTCACAGAGTGTTGCAAACAAACCTACATTGGTGTTTATGTTAAGAGTGGATGATACTGCTAAACCCTGAGTTATGTTCAATGTAGGTCCAATGCTAAAATTTTCACACAAAAAAAATCATGTTTATGGTTATCAAAAAAATATACAGGTTAGTTAAAAGACTGCAACTAAATGCAAATTATATACACTGAACACTATTTTTTCCACTGAAAACAATGTTGGTAAATTGTGAATTGCAAAAATGCTAAGTGTGTAATTCCCAGGATACTGAATTAAGGAATTGAGAAAATATTTTATTTTATGTTATTTGAGGTAACAAACCCTTTGAGCTACCTTTCATGCCCTTTGGTTTTGCAGCTTGTGTAGATTGACAGCACACAGTTCCTTGTAGCTACATTTCAACAACACTGAGATGCCATTAGCACACATTGCTTTACTTTGTGTCCCAGGATGTCATGTTAACAGTGTCAATCCCTTTTTCTTTCAGTTTCTAATCTATTATTCTTTCATTTTTAACTTTAATAGCCTTGATCTTTATTGCTTTATAACACTGAACAGTCACAGGTTAATGATAGCTCTCCCAGTTTCACCAAGGCTGACAACAGAGCAGCAGAAAACGCTCTGACATTGCAGTGACCCAAACCTGTGTATGTGTGCATGTGCAAGCTGTGAAAAAGCTGACTATGCTGGTTCAGGAGGACTGTAGGCATTGATAATGTAGGCCCTTCATCATAACTGTAGCATTAATGCTTTCTCTGAAGGTTCATGGGTATAAACCACAACAATGGAGATCAACTAAAAGAGCTACTGCTCCTCTGGAATGAGTCTAACATTTATTATCTTGCACGACACTAGAGTAAGATGAGTTTTATTGCTCAGGATCGCGAAAAGAATATCCCATAGGGGAATAAAGCTTTAGTTCAAGAAAGCATTCCTCCACAATGAATTACCATCGAATTACCCCTGAGGTCCCAAAGCATTTCTCTTGCATTTGTCTCTGCGTGGGCCTTTTGTTGTACTGCAGCTAGCTGACGGAGACAGTTTAAAAAAAAACACAGCAGGAACATGATTAAACTGCAGTAAGCATAAAGGGTAGTTTCAGCCTTTCATCCTAAAATTGTTGTTTGTATGTCAATCAAGCTTTAACTTAACATGCATGACATGTTCTGTCGAACACAAACGATTTTGTAAAATGTTCCCACTTAAAGTTTTAAGGTTCAGTGAAACAACAGTGACTTTATGTCAGAGACAGGATGATATAAGCAGGCTGTTAAGTTTTTGCCTCCAACCATTGATTTTGCTCGCTTAAACCATTTCTGACAGATGTTATCAGCGGAAGCTAGCAAGCGAAGGAAGCAAATTTTAGCTAACTGGCTGAAACCTGGGACTACATGCTTTTGAGGTTTCTAGCTAACAAGTTTCCAACAACAAATATTCTTGATGGCTACATGATTTAACAAGACTGTTGACAGAGCTGCATGCCGCAGAAAAAAAGAGATGTGCTTTCACTTTAACTGCTTGCAAGGTGAAGACTCACCAGTGTTTATTTGGCAAAACTAACCCTATGTTGGGTTATGTTGCTAGGCTATCAGTCAGGCTATCATCATCTGTGAGCTGCTGAGCTGCTTACAGTTGATGTTGAGGTGACTATCAGTGTGAGAGGTAGTAAATGGCAGTTTTTCCCCTCCAGCTGGTGGCTCTCCTCCCCTCCTGTCTCCTGTCATGAGAGTACAGCTCTGAGAGGGAAAACATGTACATCCGAGCTGCTCTGTTTCCTGTACAGCCGTCTGGTTTCTACAGGACCTGCCACACTCAGCTGAGACACGTGTCACACCTCACACGCTCACTCATTACAAAGTGACCTGAGCAAGACGAGCTAGTCCACGCCATGCTGAGTCAGCTGGTTACACATCTGAACCATGATTGAAGGCAACACATGTTTTGTTCATGTTTTTATTGTTGGTATTGAAAAGATGAATGGCATTTTTGATTGAAACAAGAGGGAAAAATGAGCTCCTGTGTTTTTCAGCCTCCTCCAATCAGTGTCAGCCTGAAAAAAACAGCACATTTTTAAAAAGATATTGTTTGAGTGACTCATCTTTTATTAATTAACATCCGAAACTCTAGATAATCATGACAAAACAGTTAAACATGACAAAGCAAGTGAAATGATGAAATTACTTTGAATTAGATAAATTAGCCCATTTAGCCTGTTACTCAATGCAGTAAAATGTGATCAAGTTTAGGGATTACAACTCTTAAGTCCACGTTAATTTTTTTTCTCCAGAAAGCCAGCTGCTTTGCTTTAGAAAGAGATTTTGATGGAAGGCATAGAGGCCGGAGGTGCTCAGACAACTTCTACTGAAAAAGGAAAAACAAACTATACTCCTTCTAATGACAAATGGCCCTCTCAGTTACACCAACATTACCCATCGGTAACACATTGTAAGATTCTTACAATGTATTGTTTATCATATCTACATGTATTAAGGCACTTTTACAGAATTTGACATGGCAACAAAGTAACGTTACCTGTGCTGTAATAAATCAATTCTCTGTTGAGAAATCAGTTAAGTCATCTAATTACTTTTTCAGTGAGTAAGATGTTTTTCCAAGTGGCCTGCTCAACAAAGAGATTTTTAAAAAGGCCACTTCATCTTTTGTTTTTTGCTGCTGTGAGGGCTTTAGACTGAGGAAATTAAAAATGACATTAATGTTTTATCTGACCTAAAAATGGCAACGGTACCACATCTTAAGTGTTTGTGTTTTTCTTTGGTTACCCTGCATGCATTTTGTATGCACAATGGAGGCAGTCTGACTGTTATGCATTTATGAAATGCAGTTTCTGTACATATTTCATGAAACATGCTTGTTTAAAACATGAATTCAAATGCAAGAAAGCGCCATGTAACTGGTAACTCTTCATTGTTTTTGGTTGGATTATCTCAGCTGTCATATTCCAGAGAAATCTGAAGCACACCACTAATTTCCTTGTGCTTCTCAGCCCATCTCGAACCACATTCCCACTGGGAGACTGTGCATTATCTGCTATCTTTTTTTCTTCTCCACTCCAGCAAGTGGTTTCAGCAGTCCGAGCCGGTGTAAACCCATCAGGAAGTGTATCCAACCAGACGAGCCTCTGGGACATCAGCTCCTCTTTCTTCTTTGCCGGGACTGTCATCACAACCATCGGTAAGAGGAGTTTCCAACTCTTTAATAATTGCATTCCTCATTATTTTCTCTTTGAAGAGGCCTCTGACAATGTTTCACAGTAGTTACATGCAATGCTTCAAAGGTGGTTTCAAAATATGGGGACATTTCCTCTTTGAATATGTGAAAGGGCATTCTAGGCACATATATAATTTCATTTATTCTCTAAGGCAGCAGAGGCTCAATGTCCTTTTGATGACTCTTATCTAGAATTCAATACGCTCGCTTACCCAAAGCTGCCACATTGTGCCAGCTCTGTGCATGGACTGCAGGTCAACAAAACGATACCATTTAGTTTGCCCCCTACCTTTGTTATATTTATCAGGAACAAAAACATTTTTGTTTTTAAAAGTAAGCGAGCAATTAGAGCTATAAGCCCATTTTAGATATTATCACAAGTATCTTGTGCCCGTATAAAAAGGCTTAGGGCTCTCCACCAACTAACGCCCTAATGCCCTGCTGATCATCATCCATGACTTAACCCTTTGTGGCTGCCATAACATTATGGGGCAGATAGATGGGAAGTGAGAGCCAGGTTATCTCCAGGGTTATCAAGCAGGCACCTACTTTCACAGGTAGGCCCACTACACCTTGGGAAGGCTAAACGTTTAGCTCTAGCACCCCCAGAACCACAATTAACTGAACATATGAAGGCCGGTTTTTAACACAACAAGATAGAAACATAGACCCAAAATGCAGACTCACTTGAGACAGAGTTCAGTAAAAGTAGTGCTCAATAAATAGTCCAGGTCAGTACACAGGTAAGCACGCAGTGGTGCAAACAAATCCAAAAGGGGCAGGCAAAAAACAAGGCAGAAGGCAATGGTCAAAAACACTAGAAGACTCACAAGAAGAAAAAGGCTTGAACAAGGCGACAAAGGAACACACAACTAATTGGCATCATGAGTGTACACACAGTACAAAAAAAAAAACAGGAAATGACAAAATACTTCAATAAATGAACAAAAGGAAAAAAACATGACCTCAGGTAACTTGATGGGTTGTGTCAGGTTTACGAGGATCCAAGTACCGGACTCATCTCACAGTTACACCAACTCAACTTTTTCTCATTTTGTCGACTCTGATGCTTCACACAAGGCAGCATCTGAAGTGTGTCACAGGCTGAAACATTGTCAATGTGGAATGATCCTCTTGGTAAGTGTCTGTCTTTGTTTGTTTTTTTACTTCTGGTTAAGACATAGAACCTTTTCTAATTCAGTTTTGGTATTGAATATAGCTATATAATAACTCAACATTGGCCTTGACTCCCAGACGAAAGGCCTCGGTTGAATGGCCCATTAGCCAGCCCAAGTAGACTTTGCAGCTCTGTGAGTGTTTAATAATGCTGCAGATGGGATCTACATGGAAGTTCTTTGAAAACTTAATGAAAATACCCCCCAAGAAATAGTCAAAAATAAATCAAAAAATGAATTTTAAAAAATGGCTAGAGACCCCAGCCAAAAAGAACAGAACATTGGAAGGAACTGAGTCAACCTTGCAATGAGTCATTGCTCTCAGTACCTCTCCCTAAAACTGCCTAATGAAAACAGAACTTATCTAAAGGAAAAAAAATACACTGAAAAATACACACTCAAGTGTGCAGCAGGCAGTGAGAAGAGGGAGATGAGAGAGAGAGACCAGGCCACAGAATAGGCCACAAGTAACTCCCCCACTCTAAGATGCTGAATATAGGAGAGCCCTGCAGACACAGTGTCGAAACGAGTAAAGAAAACACAGCAAGAAAAACTTGATTACATCCTTGCGCTGAAAGTGCGAAAAACAATCATGACGTTTAGAGGAAATTCTTGAGTCAACAGTTTTTGCAAAACATCAATAGAAGGACTTACAACATCTTCAGCATCAGACAGTGCTGAACCAGCCAATGTCTCAAGAGGATCAGCACTGGACAGCTCCACAGCTCTGATTGCATCAGATTGTTGCATTCTCTGGCATTCTTGAAGACATGTATTTGATTTTACCCAATATGGAAGGCCTACTTGTATCCGTATTGGAATAACTGTAACAAAGGCAGCATAACAGTCATCAAGTCTGCAACTTACAAAGACATCATGATGGTAAATTGCAATCCAAACCTTTAGGCGATGAATGTGATCTAGTGGAGACAATAGTTTCTGGCTTTCAGTGCATATAGATTTATTATTGCAGTTGCTTTTTGAGGTCTTTTTTTTTTTCTTAAAGTGGTTTATTGAAAATGAAGCATAGTCCTAAGAGTTTCACACAAAGTCAGAAAAATAGGACTTTAAAAGTGCCTGTGATCCTCTGCTTAGTTACTGTGCTGTGTAATCAAGGAGCTGGCATGTCTCAGGCTGCAGTACATTAACACATCCAACAAGCTTCCCATATCCATCACTGCTTGTACACCATTACTCACTCTGTGTGTGTCACCTCCAGCTGTAAGTGCCTGCTAATCAGGAATACTGAACCACACACACACACGCACGCACGGCCACACACTCTTATAACTCGATTGGCTCGTAAAAGCAGAGCTTGGTGGATCTGTGTTTCTGTTAAGTGGGCTTTTTGGGTCCATTTCACATCTTCACATTCTGTTAGAGCTTAATCTGTAATCAAAAAATGTAAACCTTTGATTTGAAGTTAAATCAGCCATCCTTGTGGGCAGAACCCAATCTTCAAATATTTTGACTTTGCTTGATCTCCCAAACATTTCTCCAGCCTTTTTCCAAAAAAACTTATCTGTACTGCTTGGGGCATCTAATCTGGCACATCTTAACTTCTCCACTTCTCTGTTTGGTGGGCTGTTGGTTCTCCGTGTCCTGTAAGGAAAAGTAACTGCACTGCAATAACTTGATTTTGCCCTCTGGTTAGCAAAAATAGAAAATATTTGCTTTAGTATTAGAATGAAGGTACTCACTTGTAGGCAGCAAGTAAGAGCTGCACTTCGGGTTTTCTCTTCACCTCAGAATACGTGTGTTGAATTTCTGCTCTCACCTAGGTGCAGCAGTGATACTGAAAGAGAGCTTTTCATACAAAAGGTTGTGTTATGTTCCCAGCCAAGGGGAATCAAGACACAACATGACCAGTGACCCCCACTCTTCCCACTCTTGAGAAAGCCATCATTCCAGGTCAACTTCAGATTTAACACAGCAGTATATTTTCTTCAGAGCAGAGCAAGGCCCAAAAACACAAACAAAGGGTGACTACCAAAAGCCTTCTGTCCTAACATGGAAATAATGTTAAAAAAACAACAACTTTGGCTTCCCTAGTATCCAAACAAAAACCAGGAGTAAACAACATTATTTTTCCATTTACACACAAATTAAACAATCTTCCCAAGTTACATTAACACTACAACAAGATCTGGCCTACTTCATTCAAAAGGCTCTGATTTCATGCTGGGTTTGTTGGCAGTGGCCAGTGAAGGGGAGATAAGGTTCTCCTTCTTCTTCAGGGGTTAAATAACGGTTGATATCGATATGTTTTGCAAGTCCTTCTATGAATCAGACTCAGTAGGTCCTTTTCTGATTGTGTAGTCAAGTTCTTCTCTGTTAATATTCATAACCGAGAGAGCAGGTTGCAGCGAGTTTTTAAAAGCTGTGGTGTCAAGATTCGGCTAATCATCGCTGCAATTATCTTTGCTCCCTCCATTTAACAGCAGGATGACCACCTGATCCATCTAGACACACTCACACAGACACACTCACTGACACAGACACACTCACTGACACAGACACACTCACTGACACAGTTACACTCACTGACACAGACACACTCACTGACACAGACACATTCCCACGGATACACACCCACACACTGCAGGGGAGGAGACGTGACTGAACAAACACAATTAGTTAGTTAGTGTAAACAGCACTTCATTACTCTGTGCTGTGTGTTTGTAATCATCATAATTTTGCCTGTTTGGTTCAGAATGCAAAGACATGCTTATGATTTAAAGAAATAATTGTTCAGATTGAATATGTGTTCTGTGTAAAACAATTGGGCATTGTGTGTTTTTTTTTATTGCTTTACCTGATTCAACTGGAGATGGTGACCAAGCATTTATAACAAAGATTGATTTGTTTATGCAGAGAGTTTTAATAAGATGTGAAGCATTGTGCTAAGGCATCTTTCCCCTTACTGAATTACCTCTTGTTTCTGTTGCCTCTGCTTCTCTGCTCTAGTCAAACAGGTGCGGAGTGATTGATCTGCTGTTTTTCTTCCCTGTGGAACTCCCCACTCAAGTGTCCTCTACTATTTTATTCCCACTGAAAGTTAGATTTTCTTCTGAATATCAAGACGGGTCTCTGTTTTGGAAATTGAAAGTCTGAAAAAAAAAAGGGTTCTAATTCCAAATAAATCACTGTTTGATTTTTTTTTTTTCACATTTTGTTTTTCTATTTGGTGATATACATTTCCATGAAAAAAGAATGCCCTGTACTCTAATAATGATCTTTAAGAGACGCTAATAAGGTCACTCAGTTCAAAGATGCTCTGCTGAGTTTAGAAGAAAGTCATTAAACCTTTATGGTCCTCTGCAACGACATTTGTTCCTTTAAGAGAGAGTACAAAGCGTGCCACATTACTGCACGAGATTCTTACATAACCTAGTTAGTATCATGTAATGTACGCAGTGTTATAAGGGACATGTTAAATAATGTGTTTGTCTAAATCAACGTTAATGTGATGATGGAACAGATATTTTAGAGTATTTATTTCATTCATGTAGGCCATATTGTTGTCAAAAGATCAAAATTGAATGATTTGTTCCTTTCAAACTGAATTGTGGTTAAACATTTCACTTAAGTCCTGTGAGAGTAAAAGGTCAGAGCAGAGGAGAATTTGTTCTTTAACAGTAATAAAGCTGTAGTCCAATGTGTAAAATAAAAACTGATGTGCAGATTACAAAAAATCAATTTTTGAAGATTTGAAAAAATATAGCCTAGAGTCTCCCCTTTTTTCAAATGTCTTTTCTTTAACCTAGCGTTTCTCCTTTTATCTATTTGTTTCAGAACCCAGTAGTCTTTACAAGTCCATCTTTTTATTCCATTTCACAATAATTTGCCAATTGCTTTTCATGCCTGCCAATTGCTTTTCATGCCTGACACCATGATAGCTTTCAAAGATGAGCTGAGAATATAAACAAGATTGAATCTGTTTAATTCAATCTATAATATGAAAGAAAGACGGAGCACTGCTACAAATTAGAGGGCCGCTGTGTCTTTGTTTGTTCTGCCATGGCACCCAGAGGTGTTAAAAACAAATCCAGCGTCCCGTTCTTCCTTTGAGCTAATCATGAAATCAGGGTGATTTGATTGACATTTTTTTTTCGCACATTTACTGCCAACATACTACCAGTGTGAGACTGGGAAGTTGTTAGAAGGCACCCTGCAGCTTCTATCCTGAGATGGGTGAATCCATTAAAGGAGAAAGGTGTGTGTAGTTCATTCTGCAGAGCTCTTATAAAATATGAAATAATAGAAAGTCATGTGTTGTGTGTTGTCTTTCTTGAGGTTCAGTTTTCAAAAGGCACAGGACTCTACCAGGACATTGAATTCGAAAGGCTGCTTTTTATGGCTGCACATGATAGTGGATTTGGATAGAAGATGAACGCCAGCAACCCATTGACCGTGTGTGTGTGTGTGTGTGTGTGTGTGTGTGTGTGTGTGTGTATTTGTGTCTCTATATACAGTATACTGTCTTTTTTTTTGCGCATTTCATTTTTTCCATATTTCATTAAAGTCTCAGTTACTAGTGTAATGAGAAAAGAATGATCAACCTTGAGTATGAATCATTACTTTTTAAAGACGTCCATCTTTAAATATTAACATTTCTCGAAGCTTGTCTGCAGTGATGTCAAAGCTCAGTCAAGTTTTTGTGTAATGTTTTCCAGTCTCTGGTCTGTCCAGTGTAGATTAAAAATATTTTTTTTCCACTTTTCCTTCTCTGTGTTTCATGCAATGCAATAACATCAATGTTCCTGTTTTTGTATGTACTCAGAGTCTGTCCTGCATAAGGCAAACAGAGGAGAAGAGAACATAATATGTTGCCCAACAGTATGAAAAGATAAATAAAACATGTCATGTGAAACAACTAGAACTGTCTTTAGAATCATTGTAAGACAAGAAGGCATGCATTAACCCAGAGGTTTTTAACTGTAGAAAAACAACAAAGCAGTTACAGGATCTTATTTCCTATTTCTGTGTTTATGCAGCACAAAAAGCTGCGAAGAGCTCTGATAGTTTTAACACTCTGTAGCACAACATGATGCGACTTGACATTGTTTTTTCTTCTACACAACAAATGTATGCATAAAAGTAGATGCAAACTGAATATCCAGGTTGAAGAAAATAAAATTGTATCTGCTTTAGGTTCTGAGTATCTTAAAAACACATAAATATAGCAAAACATTTCCTGTTCTGCAGATAATGTATAATGCCCTGCTCATCACACATCACACAAAAAACTGACTGTGTCTCTATGTTGCAGCTAATTTCCTCTTACATTCTGAATGAAATACTGCCTGATGAGCTAATGAACTCTCTCTCTGCTTCCTTTCTGCCTGTCAGGGTTTGGGAACATTTCTCCTCACACAGAAGGAGGGCGGATCTTCTGCATCATCTACGCTCTGCTAGGGATTCCCCTGTTTGGATTCTTATTGGCTGGCGTCGGGGACCAGCTGGGGACCATTTTTGGGAAAGGCATCGCTAAAGTAGAGAAGATGATTGTGGTGAGATCCTTCCCTCCTGATTCATTTTCTTTGTTTTTTTTTGTATGTTTACCTGTGAGCAGTGAGCCGTTTTAATGTGGAAAGCACAAAAGGGTACAGGAAACACAACAGTAGCTTTAAAAGTGTATTGCTGGAGCTGTTTCTTGAAAGAACTGTTATATCCAAGGGTCAAAGTTAAAGCAGAAACATAAAGACCCTGCATCTGAATATTGTGAAAGTGCAGGAGTTGTTTTTTTTCCAAAGCAGTCTGGGTTTTTTCTGAGGAAATGGTTTCACTCCTGAGAACCATTTAAATTGCAGACAGTTTGTTCAAGATTGAAAGCTTAGATCAGTAAATTGCAGTTAATTCATAACAAGTTCCAAAATTCAGCAAAGAAGAACAGTTAGGGGTTTTCTTTTGTCATCTTCTTCGCGAAACTTGTGGAACTGTTTCCATCGTTTTCCTGCTTTCTGTTTATGGCGGTGAAATTAACCCAGATGGTTGCATCTCTCTAAAATAATGATGCTATGGGTTATTAATTAAAGTGCCTTTTACACGTTGACTGGGCCCAAAGCTGAGTGGTTAGAGAGCACCATTAGTCATGTTGGACATACGGAATATAAATGGAGCCTGCTGGACTCACTGGTTGATGTTAAGTCATTAAGTATCTCCTGGAAACTCAAAGGCTTACCCTGAAAATAAAAAAACGACAAAGCAATCAAACAGCTGCTCAGTGCACCAGCCACTGAGGAGAACATGACCTAAAGCTGGTTTTAAAAACAGCTGTATTTATTTCATGTTAAAGGTACAGTATTTAGAATGTTATTAGTATTTTACACTAAAATTTATTAAATATGGACTAAACCTATGTTCTATTTTTTTGTTGAGTACTTCTATTACTTCAAATATTTCCAACAGTTATCAAAGCCAAAGAGATCCGTGATTTTATAGTTGTACGGACGTGTCTTATTGTGGCGGCTGGCATGACAGATGCAACATATCTATCGTTGCCATGGAATCACGGGAGGTTACATCAGTGAACACTAAATGAGGAAGAGGGAACTGCTACTGACAGCTGCCATACTGTCATGAGTTTCTGGTTCATTTGTTTATTTCAGTGTTTGGATTTAATTTCCTGTTTTATTTTTGTCTCTTTCTCCCTTCCTGTTTCTTGTTTCCCTTGTGCGTATTTGTATTGCTTTATTTCCAAGTTTAGTCTTTAATGTCTCCTGTTTTATTTTTTCATGTCTTATCCTCGTGTTTCTCTATGTCCTCTGTGTATTATTACTGTATATGTACATGTGTGTCCATGTGTGTAGTTCTTGTCCCCAGTCTTTCTTGTCTTGTCATACTTCCTCCTTTGTTTCTTCACCTGTGTCGTTAGTCTCACCTGTGTCTGATTATCCCTGAGTGTATTTACTCTCAGTGTTCCTTTCCTCTAGTTCATTTTGTCTTAGGTCGCACTCACACTATCAAAGTTGTCCACTACCGTGCTTAAACATGATTGCGCCCCCCACCCCCCAACCTCCCATTCCCCCGTTGGCCTGCACGGCCTGCTCTCACACTGCTCCAGGACAAACCGGGCCTAGCATAATTACCTCTTGTATATAACGTTGTAATACAGAACATGCATAGCTTTATGTAATTATGAAGCGTTCTCAGTTTACAAACAGGCGGACCTCTCCGACCACCCTGAAGTGTGCCAGGGCCAAGGTAGTGTACCGTGCTTGAGCATGGTACGGAGCACACACACTGGTCAAACGAACTGGACTTTAGGGGTGAAGCGTGCTTAGGCACGGTACGGATTGCCAGTGTGATCACGCCCTTACTGCTCCTGTCATACGTCTCTTACCTCCCAGTGTTTTCTCGTGTCTTTTTTTTGTTTCTCTTCTCTGGACATTTGTTGGACTTTTGAAAAGTAAGCATTTCTTTCCTTTTGCCTTTTTGTTCAAATAAATACTTTTGGTTTTCTGCACGTAGGTCCTCCTCTTGATCGATACCCCACTGGTGGCTGAATTGATATAGGCCTAATGTGCGTTAAAATTCTGCTTTATTTTTTTACTTGTACCTCAAAAAGCTGCAGATTTGACTCCTGGCCTTGGCCCTTTAATACATGTCTACCCCTCACTCTCCTCACTAAATTTATTCTGGGGAATAATCAGCCTAATTGAATACAGAATATACATCTCAAATTACAAAAAAATTGTCAAGGAGGGCAAGAGGGTTCTGAAATGCAGAGACGTGTCGATACAATAAATGCATTCTGTCTTGAAATCTAAGTCAATGCTGTCATGTCTAGCCTTACAAAAGAGCTGTGGTTGACTAAACTGAATCATTACAAAAGTTTAATAATGTCTTTTTTGCTATAAATGAAATTCATTTACAGGAAGACATTTTGAATACAATTGCGAACAAGTGAAAGTTTGAGCTGATACCACAGGTTCAGTATTTGCCAATTGTTCAGTTGAATAGAACATGACCTCGGTGCACTTGTATAATACAAACCTGTAATCAAACCTAATTTATAGGGAGCACTGTTCTGCAGAGGAACACTTCGAGATACACTCAGAGCATGGATACGCTTCCCCCGACAACCCCAGAATCATTACTTTAACATTTTTCCACAGAGGGGAGATTTTTCTAGAATGTTCTGTTGTGTAAGTGTATAACCATGACAGGCTTAAAAATCTTAATTATCTTTAACAAGCCCACTAAAGCAGTCCCTGATTTCATAAGAGCCTTTTATTTCCAGAATAAAAGCTCTATCAATAGGTACATTTTCCAGGAGCCACGATACTCAGCAGCAACTGGTTGATTATGACTTTGATTTATTGCTGGCAAGTGGCTTTTTTTCTCCCGGAGGAGTAGGAGAAAGGTTAGTACATGTAGCTAGTTCAAACAATGAGAATAGATGGACTGTAGCATCTGCTGAAGTGGCTGCTGTGCATTGAAGATGCTGGCTAAGGAAAAAAGACTCGGCTATAGAAGACCCTCAGGAACATATTGTCTCTTGGGTTGTTAGTCTCCATCTCATTTGGTCCTATGACTCACTGTAGGTGTCTTTGAACTGTGTGCTACTGAAGTGGATTTTGCTCAGTGCAGTGAGGACATTAGACATCACAGACAGAGTATTTTGAGGTCTGACTGCTCTGTATGCTCCCCTCAGAGGCACTGTGCTTGGGGCTTACATAACTGGAAGGGAAAAGGGCAGCATGCACAGGGAACCAGCTGAAAGCAGTCACCTCCAGAGCCACAGAGTAAACAGCAGAATATACCCTAATGTTCTGTAACTGGAGAGCTGCAGATTTAATCAAACTCAAATTTCCATGGTAACATGAAAGCACAGGCTGTAACTGTGGTGAATCCATTAGAATATCTGCTCATATGAGTTGCATGTCAAATACTTTTCAGCACATGAAGCATATCAAGTCTTGATCCAAAATGTCCCCAGCTCCATGAGCGCGCCTTCTGACAGTGAACGTTCTGTCACAAGAGCTTGGCACCCTGACGTTTGAGATGTTAGAAACCAGTAAATGTATTCCTGGAAGGAGGTCGGAAAAAAACCCAAGTGACTCATCCTAAATGTGAAGAGAGCAAAAATAAATAAAAGCGAAAGACTGTGGGACATGAGGAAGAGGAACACAGCCAGAATATTTTCAAGGGTTATTTTTTTTAGAAAGGTTATGAAGGAAGTTCCTGTATTCTGTACTTTTCAACTAAACTGAACATTTTTTGAGTTGGCCAACATAATGACTTATTGAAACGTTTTTACAACTTTCATTACTGTTCTGTCACAATTACAAAGAAACTAAGTAAAGAAATAATGAAATAAGACAAAAGGGCATTTTAATAAAAAACAAAACAAATAAATACATTAAACAAAATTCATTTGGGTGTTATAGTTCTTACAAACCTATCTCAGCCCCACTGGTTTCCGTGTCTTATCTTAGTACCAATAGTTTTGTATTATCTCTTTTCAGAAGTGGAAAGTCAGCCAGACGAAGATCCGCGTCTTCTCCACGCTGCTCTTCATCCTGTTCGGGTGCCTCATCTTCGTGGCCCTGCCTGCCGTCATCTTCCAGCACATCGAGGGCTGGAGCACGCTGGAGTCAATCTACTTCGTGGTCATAACTCTCACCACCATCGGCTTTGGAGACTTTGTCGCTGGTGAAAAAGGTCACTCGATTTTCCTTTGAATTTATAGACTCCCTCTTTCATTTTTATGTCTGACACTCAGTATGGAATCAGTGTGTTTATAGCAGGATGATTCCTCAGCCGGTCTGACTGAACAGATGTGCGACATGGCTGTGAAAAGGCTCCCTTTGTTTGCTGTTACTCTCTATGCTGCACATTATAACATGAATTCTGACAGTTTCTCTAAATCAACCATGCAATGTTTGATGCCTCCCATCTGTGAGACAAGAAATCCAAAGTAACTACTGTACAACAAATAGAGTTAAATACAGTAGAAACTTTGGAGCCACTAAACGCATCTGTACCCACCCTTTAATTAACAGAATAGCTTTATATGATAGAATATGCATAATCCATGCATAATCAGAGTTGTTTTTTGTCTTATTATAAATAAAGCTAGAGGCAGCACACATTTATCTCAGCTATCTCAGCACAATAAACAAAAATAAATATTGATGGTATACTATTAGAAAAGAATAGAATAGAAGTTGATTTATAGCACATTTCATGTAAGCTCAATGTGCTTTACATTGATGATAAAAACCTAGGAATACAAGTGACAAATAGCTCAACTATCATGAATATGATACAGAAACAAAACAAAAAACACTTGCACAAACCCACACATACACAAAGAGTAACTATTCATATGCTTGGAAGAATAGATAGGTTTTGAGTTTAGCTTTAAAAGAAGAGACAGTAGTGATGGACTTTTGGACTTTTTTTTTATATCAACTCTCTGACCAAATGAGCACTAGTTGTTTGGTCTTGAAAGTAAATATGGAGTTAGCGTACTAGCAATAAGGGTACTCCTCTGGAGTTGACTTTTTAACAAAATAAATATGGTTTGTGTATGCTGTACAGAAAGAGGTTTTGTGCATGTGTGTGTGCATTAGCAGGTGGCGTTAGGTTGATTTGACCTGCCTGAGAGACAACAAGAGAGAGGGAGAGGGTAAAAATCACAAACACTTAGCTGCTAGATGAAACTTCCCTGAGCAGAACTAATGGTTGTATATTAGATTAGGCCACCTGTGCCAGTGTCAGGAGTTACAGTAAACTCATCAGTCTTTAGGTAAACTGCACTGTCTACATGCTGGCTGTACTGCATCACAACAGGTGATTTATTGAGGGTTATTCCATAGACACAGCTCATGACGGGGCTAAAAGAGTATGTAAAAGTATTGAAGCTGGTGTTTGAAGTGCGAGAGGATTTATGATTGATTTGTTTGTTGGAAGTCCACAGGCGGTTTTCAGAAAAGTACGAAGCAGATATAAATCTTGCAGCCTTCATCCTCATGTGCCACAAAAAAAAAAGCAGAAACTCAGCCATAAAAACACCAAACATAACAGCAAAATCACTGGATCTGGTAAGAAGCTCGAAAGGTTAAATTTTTTCTTGATAAAATAATTGTTTTCCCATAATCAGGACTTTATCCAAATAATTTTTAATCCACCTAACCTGCTTTGTTTTATGTTCTCCAGCTGGGTCAGAGAGTCAGGACTACCTGGACTACTACAAGCCTGTGGTGTGGTTCTGGATCCTCGTGGGCCTGGCGTACTTTGCTGCTGTGCTCAGTATGATCGGAGACTGGTTCAGGGTCATCTCAAAGAAGACAAAAGAGGAGGTATGAGATCATGTGCCATGAGTTCTATCAGTGTTCAGGCTGAATGATTAGGGAAATATGAACCTCTCTTTTTTCTCAGTAAGGTTGAGACAATGTTGGCTGACAAGAATTACCTGCTAATAGATGAAAGCTTGGTTGCTTGAGTCCATCTTCATACTTTTAATTAATTTTTGTACTGATCAAGATCTAGCTCTCCAGATAAGCCTTTATTTTCTAAGATATTTCAGTCAAAATCCTTTTACAGTATTTTCTTGTAAATAAGAGGACAAAGACTTCCCTAAGATGATGTCTTTCACATTTATTAACCAGTGTTGTGGTTTGCACCGCCACACTTACGGAAAATGAAAAAATAAAAAACTTTGACCTAAAATAGTAGGGTTCAGTATGCTTGAAATTAACTGCATGCTATGTCCACAATGTCATGGTGTGATAAACTTTAAAAGCACAGGGAAAAAAATTTGCATCCCCGCTGTCCCCACACAATATAAGGGAAAATATCGGAGTGCTTAAAAAAAGAGCTTAGCCCTCTTCAAGATATTATGACAACATGAAGTTAATATGCCGAACCGTGCTTACTAGTTATTTTACTTTAGCAAATTCCCTTACAAATGTACAACTAATCAAATCTTGTAAGGACAAGTCAGCTCAATTTTTAGGGGAATGGGGGGTCTAGGGTATTGCAGATATTGAATGGGGATGACAGTAGCTACTTTTCCATTCTTCTCCCATGGCTTTAATGGAAGTAGTTCTGTGGAGAATGAAAAGAGTAGAAATTCAAATTCTGCCTTACTTTAAGTTGCGTGGACTATCTGTCACAGATATCAAAGCCTTTTTTTCAGAGGCTGTAAGATTGATTCGGATCACTTTGTTTAGGTATACTGAAACATTCAAAGTAGCACTGTGGAGGTTTGTAGGATATTTTCTTTCATATTTATAGGCTAACACTGGTGCGTCTGTTCCTAAGCAGTAAGTTCAGAGGTGTGATCACATTCGTCTCACTTCATTTTGACAGAGGAATAACTCGAGGCTTTTCCAGTTCACTCTCCATAAATCTGAATTGATAAATCCTCTTCCAGTGGAGAAAATACCATCTCATACAAGGGTTAGATTAAATATTTGTTGTGATTCCAGTCGAGTAATAACATACCTTGCTGTTTTGGCAGACTCATTATTTTCATGTAAAAAGGTTTGAGAGAACCGTGCATCCCGGCAATCACGCACTTCAAAGCATAAACCAGACACATGCAGGTCTTATTTCTTTATTCCATACAAAATAAAAAAAGGGAGACTAGTCTGCAGTGGGAATCCTCACACAGGCTTAATTAGGAGAGAAGCAGAAGAGGCTGTGAGCTCTACAGAGAAATACATTAGTGAGAGAGGATGTTTCTGTGCAAGGTTGGGGGTTTGGAGGGAAGGGGGCGAGGATGATCAGGCAGAGAAAGTGGGAGAAAGGAGGAGAAATCACGCACTGAAGTGTTTGTGCTCTGGTGTGTGTTGCCAAGTGTGAGCACACATACAGGCACACACCATAAATTTGAACGTATGCGTTCAGAAGTCCGCTTTCAACAAGCACACCTCAGAGTGTAATGAATTATGAAACAGCAGGGAGAGAAAGGCCTTATGTATTATGAAGGCAGGATCAATGAAGTGTGTGCTCTGTTCCAGTGCATTGCCTCTCAGGGGACATAAACATACAGAGTTTTTTTCACCACATACTATATAGTCTCCTGAAAACTAGCCTGAGACTCCTGCAGTACAGTTTAGCAGAAAGCATGTCTGCATCTCCTCATCTGTGCAACGTTCAACTAACGCTAGCATTGACTGTGAAGCATAAACTAGAACTTTGACACAAACCTTTGTTAGTACTTTTGCATAAATTGTTTTTGCATTATTTGCATTCTCCTAACCCTATAGCCAGTTGTCTTGTAATGAAACTGAAAGTAGCAAAGCCTCTAAATACTGAGGTCACATATTATACAAAATACATTTTCCATGTTTAGTTTCTTTTTTACGTTTATTCTACTTTTTAGGAAATGTGTGCTAAAATAAGCCTATTGGAGATTTTCCTATTGTGACATCACAAAGGGCAGTAACCCCTCCCCCATGGATGACACTCCCACAGCTAGGTGTTTGTTCTGCCTTCTGAGTCTGCCTTCTCACCGTAAACAATTGGTCATTGTGCAAGAAAGACCAAGCTACCCAAGACCTTTCAGAGATGGGCGTGGTCAGACACAGCTCATTTGCATTTAAAGGTACAGACAAAGAAACTGCCTGTTCTGAGCAGGGCTGAAATAGAGGGGTTTATAGGCATGATAAAACACAGGATCAGAGGGGATTTTTGAAATGAAACTTCACATACATGTTTCGTGGAGCTCTGAGACTTATTTAAACTGGTTGAAAAGGAGGATAATAAGTGACCTTTAAGTTATTAATTTAAAAAAAATTAGGCATAAGCCCTACTCTATCTGCTTACATGCAAAGAGTTAGATTAGAAGACTTACACCTCCCCCCTATATGTCAGGTAAATATATTTTCAAAGCAGCTTGTTGGCATAGCTAAGCAGAAAGAAAGGAAAAAGGTTAAGAGCTGGCTTAGCTTTGTAAAAATAAAAATAAAGGCTGCCACACCGAAACATTATTTTATTTTGTACAAAACATAATAACACAGCATGTGTTTTTACAGGAAGACGTTACCTGATATCTCTGTCAGTTGAAATTTGTTACAGCTCAAATACATAAATATAATGTGTTTGTTATTAATCCTATAAGTGGAGCTTGTAGGCAGATGTAATTGCCTACAGACAAAGAATTATCTTAGAACAAAGCTTTTTGCCCTCTTTCTCACCTTTTTTGCTAAGCTAAGCTAACATACTAAAAGCATAGGTTTCTCCGTAATGGACAGATACAAGAATTGTATAAATGTTGTCATGTTTTCCTTCCCAACAAGGCATTTTGTTTATGTCCTAAAAAGTGAAACTATTTGTGAGGAACCATTGTTAATGAACTGTAAATTGAAAATGATACATTTCAGGTAACAGCAACAGCTGTACCTCAACACATTTTGTCCAAAAATATTAACCAGTTAGGGATTCTCATTAAATATTTCTTCCTACTCCACGTCTACAGCGACGACACTCAATGACAAATGAACATTAACTGAAAATAAAAGATGTAGGTTACAGACATTGCTAATTGGATAGCATCCAATTCATGTGACAGAACGCTTCAGGCAAGAGCATTTGAACAGTAGTCTGAATAGAGAAATAGATGAGGCATTCACAAGCCTGAACTCCATTAATTATTGGTGTGCTTTTCACATTAACATGGTCCAAGCTATTAACCTATTCAGTCAGACATCAAGGACTACAGTATTACATTCACAGTTGGACATAGGGCTTTCGTATGACAGGTCATAAATAAAGAGTTACAAACGTACAAATAAATTCCTGCACTACTGTCTCATTTCTAGTTCCTTGAGTCTGCAAAGCCATGAAATAAAGGCAGTTCAGGGCTTTAGTAACACATGAGGTTGGGAACAGTAAAGGATGAGGTTTAAATATCGACCTGTTGTCATGTTACCCAGGAAAACATTTCCGGCTTAAATTCAGGAAGCAAATGTTTCTTTCAAAGTTGCATCGGAGCATGCTAACCAGATAACACTGGGTAACAGATGTTGATGTAAAGGGGGGACATGCTGTGCTTAAACACCTGCAGACATCAATCTTCACTCTTTCTCTGCAGGTTGGAGAGTTTCGAGCTCACGCGGCTGAGTGGACAGCAAATGTCTCAGCTGAGTTTAAAGAGACCCGGCGGCGACTCAGCGTTGACATCTATGACAAGTTCCAGCGTGCTGCATCCATCAAGCGCAAGCTGTCGTCCGAGCTGGGCATTAATGCATCCATCAATCAAGAAATGACCCCTGGCAAGAGGGCGCTGTCAGCCAACCTGTACGAGGACAGAGAAGCTTACACCAGCCTGACTCTCTCTCTCAGTCCCATCACTGGGGGGCTGGCCAGGAACGGCAGCCTTTACCTGAACGGCCTCAGCCCTGACTACGCTGACCGGCGGGAAGTTGTAGTCATCGAAAACCTAAAATGAGCATCAGCATTAAAGAGAGACTTACTCATCTGATTGGAGCAATCTGATAGCAGACAGAGATCACCATCACAAACACTTTTGTGCTTTTATAAGGTGCATCAGTGTTAAGGAGGCCTTGCGCAGCCATGAAGAGGAGTCTGTCAAATTATTGAAAACCTTGAGTGACTAATACACAAATCAATAGTCAAACTCCAATTCCACAGGGGTGTCTAGGACTACCTTCAAAACCTCCGGTGTTTGACAGCCCCCTAGTTCCAGTCATATTGTAAAGGAGTCTGACTTCTTTACATAATTTCAGCACCAACACAATCTACAGCTTTGCTCACGATTGGACTAAATCAGAAGCCTGCTGCAGACTGAAACATGATTGTATTGGAGGACTGTGTAAAAAAAAAAACTCTTTTAAAATATAAAAGCCCATATTGAGCTTTCAACACAGCGAACGTCTTCTAAAATGCTGACAAACAGTCCTGTGAACACAGAGAAATAAATGCATTCATAAAACCTAGAAAGCAATAGATGTGTCTGTGCTCATCTCTTGATAAATCAGAGGTCATGAAATCTGCATCAGATAAAAGGATCCTCTCGACTAAAAACACTCCCTAACCAACAGTGAACACTTGTTCTGGTCCTGTGCAAACACAAAGGAATGTGGCTCTTACTTTTCGTTTACACTTCTTCCAGTATGAATTTATATGCCTTGCATCCGCCTGTCAGACTGTCCTCACTAAGAGATGAATGTTGACATTTTTGTTCCCTCATGATTGACTTTTAGCTTTTCACCCTAAGGAATAATCCACTTGTGCCTTACTGGGAACCATACTGAACATGTGAGGATGGTGATGCATGAAAGACTAGGAAACGCTTCGTCTGTCCACTCATATGTTATATACGAGCACAGCACTAGTAAAGACATATATAAATAAATAGCAGGAGGCATCTCTGAAAAACACAGAAATTAATGGAGGGAGCATTTTTTTTTTAAGTAGAGAGAGAGTGGAGAAAATGTTTCTTGAAATAACTTGGAAAATGTCATCTTTCTGTCTGCCAGTGAATCATTAAGTACCAGTTTTTATGTGCTGAGATTGCTACATAAACCACACAGTGCCAGGCTCCTCCATTACACCCTATTCTCCTCATATACCAAAGTGATCTCTTTATTCTGCCTGGGAATCAGAAAGGTCCTCACTCTGATCAAAGGATCAGGAGAGCTGTTATTTCTGATTCTAATTCTGTTGATTTCTAAAAATTTAACTCTACTTTCATGTTTGGTCATGGTGGTGGAATATAGAGCTTGGTGTACTACGGCTGTCCTTTTCTATCCACTTTGAAATAAATGTTTTCAGGCATAGTAATGGTGTAATGAAAAGCTTTTGGGATGTAAAGCATCAAGAACTGTACCTTACTAGTTTATTAGTTTTTTGCGGGGGCCAATACTGAATGTACACCATTAATAACCTCTATTTACTGAAAATTACTGTAGTGACTAATTTATTCCATCTTTTTGAAGTCTGGGTATCATCACAGAGAAAGAAAAATATACAAATAAATGCCAAGTTGATTAAAGTCATGAAAACTGTAGAAATGTTGTTGTGGCACAGTTAATATCTCACTTTGCTTCATAACACAGGAAACCCATCTGGGGTCACATTTTATTTTCAGAACATTTCTGAATTGAGGAGAATGGGTGCTTCTGATAAGAAGCTTATTTGAGGTTGTGATGTCTCCCAGCTGAATGGTTTGAATGATGTGTCTTATTGTCAGTGCTTTTATCCAGCAAGATATGCTGTTATATTCTCAATGCATTTTATAGTGCTATTTACAGCTTGTAGCATTGGAATACATATACAACACAGTGTGGCTTACGAGACAGTCAGTTCTAATTGTCTGCTATATCAAATGTCTTATTTATGTGTTTTTTATCAAGTATAAAAAAATGTTTTCTTTTGAAATTAACCACTTTTCCCATAGATAAACACAAATGAACACCCGCTATAATTAATACCATGACTAAATGGCCAGTTGGTTGCACCCAGTCTTTATAAGCTCACATGTAGCCAATTTATAAGGTAAAAGACTATTTGGAGAGTTCTTCATCAGCAAAAATCCATTAGCTATTGAAGTGGCTGATAGCTGTTTTGACTGTTTCAAGGTGTAACACAATAGAATGGGAAGAAATTAGCTAGGATGTTAGCTAGAACGTGACATCAGCAAAAATTGTAGCTAGCATAAAATATTTGCCAGAAAATGTTGTACTGGCAATTATTCAAGCTAACATAAAATGTGACTCTGGCAACATACATTATGCAACATAACTTTGGTTAGAAAGTAAAGTTGTAGCTTACATTACTGTTAATGCTAATGAGTTATCCAATAAGATGTTTTAGCTTGAATGATCACAGGATGCTTTCCATATTCTCCACTATCCATTGTATTTTCTGTTGCTTATTAATCTAGAAGCAGTGAAATTCAAATAATTTGTCATGTTCTCTACACTTACTGTACATGACTTACAACGTGGAACATAGCAGTAAGATCACTCAGCTGTCTTTTATATCAAAGGAATTACAGATGTGTCAAGACCTTAATTTTTTATTAGCCAATGTCGAGTGGGAAACTAGCAGGAGAGGCTTTTAAAACAAAGAATTAGCAGATTAAAAAAACATCTGGTTCATCCTAGTGTAGGTTATACATTTACTTTCTCCTTCTGTTGTGAATGTCCTGGATTTCTTGAAATCTTGATTTTAACATAAACACTGGTTTGTGCAGAGCTGCAGCTGTCCTTTGTTATCTCGTCAAAGAGGAGTCACAAATACATTTTGCACTTTCGAACATGTTTCAGTTTCTTGAAATACCATCATGGACTTCTTTTAGTGTTTCTAAAAAGCAATCAGCGACATCGAAAAACTTCCCTTTTGTTGTTGTGTCTTTCATTACACTAAAAGAATATTTCCCGGTACTTAAATGATTTGATGCCTGGGGGAAAAAAAACAGTCCAAGGCTGGGCGCAGCTGCTCAAAGTGAAGACCCTGAAAGTCCTCCTATTCATTCTTCCCAGGCGGCCGTGTGATTGACAACTACTGGGAGGCAATTTAAGAAGTGCTGTCAATTGAGTATTATGTAATATGTCAAGCCATGTATGACCACATGTGAGGATACGTGTACGTGATTGTGTTCAAAGTAAGTGTGGGTCTGTGTGCATGAGTGAATGTGTGAATGCTTGTGTGCATTTTGGTGTTTGAGGAAACTCATTTGCTTTCCACCCCCAGCTTTTTCACATGGCATCCTCTTCTTCTCCCAGGGTGACAAGTTTTTAATTAAGTCTGTGACTGCTTCAAAATCCCAGTTCAAGCATGTTGAATGTATCTATCCATTCATGACGGCAGAGATGAGCCTCATTATGAATGTAAGCACATGTTTCTCATTTTGATTTATGTATGCAAAGACGTTAAATTAGCTCAGTGGGAATGCTGTGAAAACATTAAAGGCTTTTAAAAGTCTGAAGATTCCATAGAAACATGATTACGCACCAACTGTAGTCATAATAACCCTAAAGTTCTATCAATCAATAAATCAATCAATAATGATCAGAAAGGTGGCCAACAGCATGATCATCTGTTTTGAGAAATTTTGAAATAAAAAATGTACATCCTTGACATTCAGATCTGTTTTTTAAAAACAGCAACTTTGGTTTAGATTTAATATTTTTCAATAATTTATCTATGGAAAACTTTTCCAATGACCCAACAAGACAGACAAAACTAATTGCTTATATAATATACAATTTAGATTCGGATGCACATTTTTTTTTTTTAAATCTAAATGATTTCAACAAGTGTTGCATGCTACTTTTCTTCCACAGTGTTTATAGTTCAGATGTGTCTTTAAGAATTGCAGGCTTTGCTTTGATTTTAAAAACATTATGGAAAAATATGTGTTTCACTTTGTTAATATGTTTATGTACGTCAATAATCACAATGAAGTTTGCAAAAGGTTAAGAATTAAAATTATTTTACATGCAAAAAACAGATTTCCCTTTTTTTTGCCTCTAGACAAGACCAATATTTTTTTCTGGAAAAATGTTACTTCTTAAGAAAAAAATGGTTTGGGTGCAGTTAGTCCCTATACTAAATCTGACTTCCCTTCTGTGGCACTCATCTCCCAGGGCATGGGTTCAAATGTAGATTTATTTCCACTATAAAGCTGGTTTCACAATAGAAGAATGTTAAAGGGGCTACAATTTCCCAACTGGGCACTATCAAATGTCAATCAAACATGGGTAATGGGTATTTGTGAGGGACTATTTGCAGTTGCGGATAAAAAAACATGATTTTATTTTCCTTTTTTTTGCAGCAGGGTATCAGGGATTGATATTCAGATTCAGAGCCTAAATATCATGATATAAAATGATCATGAAAGCAAGTGCATCAATTTAATATTTTCTTTTTTAATTTATTAAAGTTAACAGTCCATGGCAAAGAAGACATTACAATACATAACATGCTTAATTTGCATATGCATTTTGTTGTTTGGTCTTTGTGTGAGATGGTTGACGATGCAAAACCTAAAGAACAGCCCATGTCTTATCCTCAAAGAGCTAAAAAAAAAAAAACTGTCAGAACATGTAGTCTAAAATATAGGAGAAAAATGAAACAATGTTTGATTTCTGGGGCAGCAGTAGCTCAGTCTGTAGGAACTTGGGTTGGGAACTGGGGGGTCGCCAGTTCAAGCCCCGGTGCAGGCCAAGCATGGAAGTTGGTCTGGTAGCTGGAGAGGCACCAAATCCCCTCCCCACCACCAGCTCAGAAGTACCCACTGTGGGCAGCTCCGTCACTCTGACACCTCTCCCGTGCATGTCCATAGCATCCTGTTTGTGTCCATGTGTGTATATATTTCAGCCTATGTGTGTGTTGCATGACTACAGAGTGTAAAAACTGAAATTTCCCCTTGCAGGGATCAATAAAATTAAATCTTAATCTTTTGAATTGCACTAGAAAACTGCCTCCAAACACTGTAATGGTTATCATTTTGATTCTCTACAATGACTGTTATTTTTCCTGAAGAATAACACAGCTATTGTCCTAGATAAACAACCTGCTCTGAGCAGCTCAATTATCAAGGATACAATGGCGTTTTAATTACAAGCACACAATGACAGACACCGGCGGATTATGGACCAGCACTGACAAACTGATCTGAGTCATAAGTGGCAAAATGTTCTTCATGGATCACAAGCACAGCATGGCTTGAGAAAGCTGTCACTCTGCTTTCACACCTTCATGTCAATTTGTATTTCTCTGCCTAAGATGTTCAAGATTGTTCTGTTTCTTAGTAAAACAGGACAACTTTCCAACAGTGCATCACCTACTTTATTGTGACTCAATTACAATATTCCAGTATGCAATCTGCAACATGAAGCCTAAAATCAATTTATTCCGAGTCTGACTGATTTCCTTAATGTGAACTGACAGGTCACTTAACGAGGCCAAACAAAGAGTGACATTGCTCGTCACCTTGCAGCCTCTGCCCTGTCAGCACACATACAGGACCATAAGCACATGCTCAGATGCTGCTTCACTCTGAGAGGAAGCCTTGACTCTGTGCCCTTCAAACAGGAGCCAGTATGATTCATTGCTGAGGTGCATCATACTGGCTTTATTTAGACAGAATAACAACAGATTTGAGCTCTTTGTGTGTACAGGGATGATGATGTTTACAATCTACAGCATGATAAAGCTGGGTCTGGTTTTGTGTCTAATTTTCATATAGGTTTGGTTGTGAGCAATCTAAAGATTAAGCAGGGAAGAGTCTGTATCTTCTTGCAAAAAAGGTTACCTCACACATACAGAAGAAGCAGAAACTCGGTTTGTGTGTCTTAATACAGCGTGTCTTTATTATCATAATTGGCCTGATGTCAATTGCTTCATCTTTCAATTTTTACATTCAGCTAAGGACTGCTGTGATGAGATTTTGTTGCTTTAGACGAAGACGATTGAACAAAAATAGAGCATTGGTTCTTGTCTTGTTGTGACAGCCATGGACTGTTGTGTAAGCATGTTAAACCCAGCAACCTTATTGACAACCTCACTCTTGATACATAAGAAAAACAGGGCCATCTGGGGTTCTTTGTGATTCAATCAGTCAACACAAATATCTGTCTTCTTAAAAAAAAGACCCTAAAAGGAACATCCTGAAAAAACTATTTTGAACTTTTGTTAATGAGATCAGATAGATCATATGACTTAAAGATTGAAACCACTCCTTTGTCTGTGCTATGCTGTTAGAGGCAGGAGACAGTTGGCTTGGCTTAGCATAAACACTGCGAGCAGGAGAGAACAGCTCGCTCCGCTCTATCCAAAGTTAAACAGACTATAGAAGTCGATTATGACATGTTAACTGTCCTTTGAACTGTCTAGTTGAGCTTTTTGCTAAAAGTGTCAGCGTGGTCCCTTTATGAAATTAATGCTGATGCAACCAGTTTAGATTCCAAGTGTCTTGTCCAGCTCCAAGATTGACCCGAGAGAAAAAAGACCAAGGGATAAAATAAATAATAATATATCAACCTGGTCATCTGGGGACCATGAGTTTTTGTACAAAACTTAATACCCATATAATCAAGAAGCTTTTTTTTAGTCTTGACATAAATAAATGATTGAATGATCAAGTGACCAGCATTGTCTTTTTAAAATAGGTCTTTGTTATTTGTAGTCCTACAAATAAAACATCTCATTGTTTGACGTGTTCAAACTAAACCATGGATGAGATTTTTTAAATCTAAATTTACGTCTAGATTAAACTAACAGACTTTGGACCAAGCCAGGTAAACTGTTTAACACTGTTTCTGACGCTTATTAAAACTAGCATATTGCTCTAAATGTTCAATAAAGTGCTGGTGTTATAATACAAATAATAACCACTGACGCTGTAAGATGGTTCCTCTAATCCACACTTATAAAGGAAAACCTGTATTTAAAAAGGTAAGAGCCCATTATTATAGTGACCTTTAAAATCAGATAATCACAAGAACCGAGTCCAAAAGTCAACCTGAAAATAGAGACCAACTCTTTAATCCAAAGGGGAACGATTTGAACTCAGACCTTTCTCTGACTATAACAGCGTTCCCCTGTCATATCAAGCCCGCTGCAGAAAGGATATCCTCTCACGCTGAGAGGATGAAGGACATCCTGACCTTTACTGCTGCAATACTCCTTGGGGAGAATAAATATGTATGGTTTGACAAAGTGTCCTTAATACATAATGACATACATTAATTCACAGTTTCTCATTGATTTGTTCTTCAACTCTCTGCTGTGCAGCAGCAAGTCTATGCCTGGGGCTTTGAATCTGACTCCCCATTTACGATTTGACAGAATTTCACATTGCTTGAATTTTTTGGGGAAACTTGCAGTTATTATTTTCTGCTTGTCTATTCTCTAAAATTAACACGGTCCCTCAAGTCACATAGGTTATGTTTTTGTTTTTGTCTATTTCCATTGCACTATTGTCATTTCCTGTTTTATTTTGTACTTACTCTTGTGTCTGTCTTCCAAATCCTGCTCCTCCTGTTTTCCTGCCTCGTGCTCCTCTGCCCTGATTGTGCTCACTTTTCTGTGTATTGATTACAGTCATGTGCTCCTCGGATGGTCCCAGTTTCCGAGTTGGGAAGTCGTTTTTCCGACTTCAGTGTGTTAACATGCTTTCAATTCGGGAAAATCAGAATGTTGTAACAACAACAACAAACTAACAAAGTGGATGCTACGAAGAAATGTCACTGGAATTTCACTGTTGTAAGTTGTGTTTGAGCAAAAAGCTCATGTGCAATACGTGACTTTATAATTGGTATCTTAATGTTAACAAAACATATCTCCCCCCATGTGATGACAGCATGATGTAAAGTCAGCAAGTCGTGCCCTTATTTTCGTTCCTTAGTTTCCAAATTGTTGTTCCAAATTGAGCAGTCGTTCATGTGCATTTTCCAACTCTGAAACTGGTTTTCCGATGTGTCCCACACCACATGAATGAAGAGTCAGTAACCCCTGTGTGTCCCCCCTCATATTGACAGTTCATTGTTTTTCAATTCATTTTCCCTCGTGTCTCCTCATTCCTTCCTTTTCTACTTGTGAGTTTCCTAGTGTTTTTTCACCATTGTTTTCCTAGCTGGATTGAACCCACCTGGACTGTGTATTAAAACTCTGCTTTGTATTATTGAACTCTGCCTTGTGTGAGTCTTCACTGTTGGGTCCATGTTGGTGTTTTATCTGCCTCTGTTAAAAATATTCTGAAGGAGAAGTCTGTCCTTTTGCCATCTATAAGCATTTCTCTGAAGTGCTCTTGACCAGTCTTAGGCTCTGGTTTGACTTAAAGGCTTTATATGCGATTTTTTGATCCAGCAGATGTCGCCCTTGAGCACCAGCATGAAACTAAAACAACACGTGCTGCATTGTTGTGTTAGCATGCTAATGCTAGCGATCTTTATTATGCTCGTATCTTCACACTGCATGTAAATTTACCTGAAATGACCGTGATCTAGAAACGATTACCTGACATTCAATTAATCAGCGAGTACAGTATGTTATTCTTCTTTTCTCTAGTCCCTCAATAAAACAACTTTTATACGCGAGGGGATGAGCCAGCCGGCCGTCCCGGCGATGTAAACAAAGTGAAGATAGGACTTGGAAAACTTGGAAAGCATCACAGACAGTGGGACTCGGGTGTTACACTCATTGTAGACAGTCATGACTCACAGAGTTATATTCAGAGGATATACTTGATTTCTATTACATTTAAGTGTGAAAAATCGCATATAAAGCCTTTAAAGTGTAGGAAATTGCTGAGAAATTGGTCGCAAATTGAAAGAAACTGAATTGATGTGAGTTCATAAGTACAATGCTAACCAACAAAAGTCAGTTGAGATTGTTTGGCAGAAATATGTCAAATAGTAAAGACTGTATAAATATATTAAAATGTAAAATTAGAGGTATAATACA